GTCTCTTCCCGAACCGACGATTATCCCGGTTAAATGCAAACCGCAATCCGGATGCGGCTGTCGTTTCAGCCAAATTCCTCTCAGTCAGCTAGGCCCTCTCGTATAACTCATCAAAATCCTTGAGATTCAGGGGCACCAGTTGGTCCTTGATTTTCGATTTCAAACCATCTTGGAATCTCCTCGCTCTGTCCACCAGGTCCTCAATTAAACTCGGTACGTACCTAGAGAGTTCTGCAAACTTCGTTTCGTGTTGGTCAACTGACAGTTGGTTCTAATGGAGTCGTTGGAACTCACCCATATTTTGTTCTTATGCACTGTCCAAGAAGTACTTTCCATTGAAAGCTTCGACGAAGGCACCCCACACCAGGGCCGTACCTTCGGGGAAAACCCTTCCTTGGGTAGCTTCCCACCAAGTGCTAGCATTACCTTGCAGTTGGTAAATAGCCAGCGTTACCTTATCTTCCTCAAAACACCTCAGCAATGCAAAAAATTTCTCTAGCTCCTTGATCCAGAGGGTTGCGGCCTCAGGATCACCTGGCCCATTAAACTTTAGCGGCTTTAGTTTCAGAAACTGCTCGACCAGTTTATGCATCGGTCGATCCCCAATCCCGTTCCCAGCTAACGGGACTTCGACAAGTTCGGCGGTAGTAGCGGCAACAGCAGCAACATCAGCTTGGTTCTAAGCTTGCTGCCCCACCATAGTTTCTAGGACTTGTAGGATCCTATCCAATCTGCGATCCTCCGGTGCCCTTCCTACGGCACCAACCAAACTGGGCATTGCCCTTCCCCTAGGAGTCCTCGGATCAGGATTGCTCATCTTGTAGGATTTTCACAGAAACCTGCTTTCCAATTCCAACACGGAATTAGAAACCATGAATAACCCGCTTATAACAAGAGAACCAAATAGTCAAGCACAGGCACAAAGTGTTTTCCTAACTAACTATCTTAAAACCCATCGCACCTTATCACTCCAGTTAATGACCAGGCTCTGATACCAATTAAACAAGGATGTCACGCCCCGACCCTCGAGCACGCGACGACCCCTATTCACTTAGGTGGTGACGACGAGGGCTACTCGTGGCTCAGTCCGGAAACGACGTGAGGTGGTGACGACGGCATGGACAGCAGCTCAGTAGTTTCAGTGGGGGCTGGTTTGGCTGGCGGTGAGGGTGAACCGTCAAGGAAATGGCTCGGACGGACGGCACACGGCGAGGGGGCAGTCACGGCGCTTGGTGGGTGGCTTCACGGCAGCAAAACGGCAGCCAAGGGGGTTGTGGTGCTCAGCTCGGCCGAAGGAGGAGAGAGGTGGGAGAGAGAGGGGGCGAAAATGAGAGGAAAAGAGAGAGAGATAGAGAGTTTGGGAGATATTTTCTTTCTAGATAGGCTTCCTCTTCAAGCCAAGTTCAAGTCCCAAAATTCATCATTTCCTTCCATAAATAACCAGGACTTTCAGTCCTCTTTGTCACTTCTCATTTAATGCTAGAACGGCAAAATGGTCATTTCACAAAGTATAGTATAAAATACTATGTGTATACGGACTAGAATTTTGTATGGGCTCGTATAATTGAGTTTGGGCTTAAAAGGATAAAGAATGGGCTTGAAAAGTTTATGGGCTCAATTTGGGCTTGAAAATGGTAAAGTGAGCTTAGTGGGCCTCATTGGGCCCAAGTGGCCGAAGCACACTTTGGGCGTGAGGCCCAATGGGCCTTCGCGAGGCCCACTTCCTCGTAGGCTCCAATTCTCGGCCCAAAATTTCCTTTTCCGAGAATTTCGAACAAACCGATAAATCGGAGGATTAACGAGGCAACGTCCAATAAGTTAGTCATGAAATCATTGAAAGTTCGATACCCAAATTCGGATTCTAATTTATGGTCAAAATCAATCAATTGCAACTTTAGTATACCTCAAACTAACGGGCGACTTTTAGGAGTTATGTGTATTCGACCCGTGGTTGATTTGATATCAAACTACGTTTAAGCTTTCTCGAGTTATGGTTGACCTCGGTTGTCATGTAATTGCGAGGGGTCAATCGCTAGTTCAGAAGTACACGATCATTAGGAATTGGTTTAGGGTCGTTCGCAATTCATATAATGGTCAGGCAGAATCACCCACGATCCGATTATATACTATTGGTGAACCATTCTATAACCATTTCTTGATCGGTCTATAATGGCTCAAAATTGTCCTTCGTCAATCCTTATGATCGAATTGTCAATCCATGATCGAGTTCTTAGGTCGTGCGTACTTAATTCCTTAACAGCCTTTCCCAATTAGTTAGTCCTCTTATGAGTGATCAATTCTGAGCGAGATTTAACTAACAGTGCATCGATGAAATAATCATTTCATATACCTCGAAAAAAGGGTCGAATTTCAGGATATCACACTTCTCATATAACTTGAACAACTATCATATGGTATATACCAAGGTTAGAACCGGATCAATAATGATGACCGAGAGAAGTCTCGACTAAATGCTTTGAGTGTCGCGGAGACAACCATGTATTTCACATATTGATCTTTGAGAGAAGAAATCGTGATGCAAAGAAAGTAGGATTTCGGGGTAACCAAATGTTTACATCATAAGAAAAGAGTAATAATAGAGAGGACGATTGTCATGATATCTGCAAGCGAAAGAATCACTTCATTGTATTGGAAACCTGCCGGATGCATCCAAGCTAGAGCATGGATGAAGTACATGTTAGAGCATTCTCATGGACCCTCTCAAATTTGCTACCACAACTGTGATTATCAATCCATAACACCGGCAACGATCTTTATCGACACCGATTGAGATCCTTTGCAAATTTCCATTGAAAGAGATCCTTGAGCCGTCGCTCAGCTTGCACCTGAAATTGAACCATGGATTTGTACTAAGGCTATAAACATGGACTTCAGTGACTAATATACCCCAGTATCATCCATATTTATTAGGAAAACAAGTAATTATTAATGACCTGAAGTCATTAATCTTGTCGTTGTATCCAAATCCTAGAACCACGTACACGTCAACAAACGAATGATCTGAAGGCAAACTCAAAATTGCCTCGTGCTTTCTAGTGAATAAATTCCCTTGAAATATCGTCTCATTGCGAACTTCAGCATTAGCATTAGCAATGCAGATCAATCAATTGCAGGAACCTAGGGCACCACAATTGACTATAGGGCTAATGAATGGAAATTCGATTTCTAATTGAGAAGCCGGAGTAAGAACTTATCTAGATACAGAGAGCTCATTCGATTGCGAGAAAAGTACCAATCTGTGAGAAAAAAATACCAATTTGTGCAATTGAGATTGCCTCACTTCAAGTGCATGGCCGCAAAGGTAGGATCTTCGATCATGCAATGCCACGATTTGGAGATGCATTTGAATCTCATGAGAGGCTTCATCGGCAATCTATCTCATGAGGGAGGTTCTTCTCCGATCAAGGCGAATCTAGGCAAAAAGCTCTGAAACCAAGATTGATTCTGATCAAATTAAGATTAATTTTGTGAAAAATAAATGTTATGATCTCCAGGAAGAGGACTAAGCGTTGCTCATCATGCTTAGTCTCTGTGTTGTCTGTCGAGTTCAATTTTGTAACCCTAGACTTCTTATATTATGGCTTAGAGGGAATAAAATCTCAATATCACAAGAGAATAGAGTGACGCTATAATTATAGCAAAAACGGATCTATTTATCCCTCTCTGTCTCATGGCCGTCCGAGGCCAGCTCGAAGGCCACATAAAGACCTTTGACGGCCATTTCCGATTGATCTCATGGTGATTAACACGGTCTTCAACCGTGAGGGCCAGGGCAGCGATCAAGATTGACCCTGAAGCCCCCCAACAGCCTATATCCTGCTAATCTTTTTGTATCTTTGTCTATCCAAGTTATGCACTTAAAGTCATAAACTAGAATTGATGTTTCGGATTAAACCGCATGTGATTTTTACGAATGAATTTTTAAAGATTCCTATTGATGAAACCTCACATTCACAATTTAAACGTTATCATTGGTTTATAATTCCATTTTTTAAACATTATGTTTTACAAATTAAAGTCAAAACAAAATGAAAAGAAACTTATGTCTTTTTATGGGGGCTCACACTTGATATTAGTAGTTTGCGGTTGGATTCAAATTTTTTTAAATTAAAATGTCTAGTTTGAGTTAATATGTAGTCCAAGCCGAACCACGAGCACGCCAGATACAATTGAGCACGAGGGTTGTCTTGATTTGTTTTTACTATCCCTGTCATTAAATTATGTAGATAATTATAAGCACACCACGTATCCTTTTGAAGTAAAAAACGATCAATCTAAGAACATGTTCCACAGAAGCCGCACCTTGACCATGAAGCAAATTGTTTCTAGACTTCCACATAAACTATGCATTGGCATTCCTAAGAAACTTCAACATCACTTTCTGCTGTTCTATGCCATTTTCCATTTTTGCAAGAGCCAGGTGAACTCGGATTGCCAATCACCCGAATTCCTGTTAATAAAGAAGAGCTCCAGCACCTGGCACCAGACTTTAGAAGAGAATTGCAATTTAAAATCTCTTTCCCAGATGTCTTTCCTAGGAGGAAGCAAACAGATTATCTCATCTACAGACCACATTCCCAGATGGCTTGACGTGCAAAATGATCAGTGTATCACAAGACGAAGTAAGACTTCCGACCCACGAATCATTTGGGGGGAAAAAAGATTGTCCTAATAATACAGTTTCCAATGTTTCCTTAATCCATTAATGCAGCTGTCTGCATAGATCAATACATGAGCTTACTAGGTATGCATTGCCAGTGCTACCAAAAATTCTTGAGATAGGAAACAATATATGGTAGTATGTAGTTGCACCAGTAGCAATACCCAGAGATCCAGATGCGTGATTCAGATAGTGAATAGTTTGGTCCTACAGAAGCTGAAAAATGCTTGTGGTGGCAAAGAATCGAACACACACATGCATAGCATTTAAAAAGCTTCGTCATTTTTTTCTGCATCGTCTAAACTCTGCTAGTACTGACAATGCTGAAGTTGTAGATGCAGTCTTGAGTTGCATACTTTCACTCATACGGAGAACAAACTTCACTAGTCTAAAGAAAAAATAAAGTGAAAATGAAAATGCATATTAAAGCTTGCAAGAAGTACCAAAAGTAAATGGGCACCACCTCACTGCATAAGCTCGTCATTTCGTGGCCAGAGCATATATGTATAAAGCCATCTCTTCTCAATTCAGATGTAACTTTCAACTTTTCTACAAGCAGAATCAATCTTTCGTACTGATAAATGTAGCAGCAATCGAGTCATATTTAAAGTGAAACGAGGCTCTCTACGACGGTGAACAAATCGCATGTCCTCCATGACGGAAGATTTGCGATTTGTCCCGTGATCGGATTCCAAGAAAGCCGTTCTCCACCAGATATTTCAATAAGAAGCTCACCATTCCATGTGAAGCCATCAAATCCTACTACCGGTCGACTAGCCTCAAAAGTATACAGCTTAGTCCAAGACTCAGGCACGCCGTAGTCTCTCATAACCCAGACAGAACAAACGGAATCCGAATCAGGATGATCAAGTGCCTCCCCACCATTAATGAACACAGCCAGCGAGTCATTCAATACTGCCATATACATACACGACAGTAAATAGACACTGTCTACGGGAAAAATCTCTTCCAACAGAGCCATTCCGTCAAACACCTCACCTGCGACATCGAACGAGACTATTGACCCGTATCCACCCTCCTTTCGATAGGAAGCGAACCAGTGCAAATTCCCATTCAAGAAGACCGCTCTGTTGTCCTGGCGACGAAAAGCAGGAGCCTCACCCTCCAGACTTCTCCAGGAATCTGTACGGTGCGAATAAATCTCGACTCGACCAAAGCGACTAAAACAATCATCTGGAGAATGGAGAATCCTCACAATCTTATAGTCGATCGACCTAGCGTCGAAGGCAAACCCCAGAACCATATGACCAGTCTCTGTATCCGGACCGGGTCGTCGAACCGCCTTGTGCTTTCTTGTGAATGGATTCCACAGATGCATAGCCCGACCATAGCCGTCTCTGGAACATTCGGTGACGCAGATCAAACCATTACACGAACCAACGATGCGGTAGCCGCCGGGAGGAGTAGTAACAAACGGAATTTCGGTTTGCGACCGGGAAGGCAGAGCAAGAGACTCGTGGGACAACAGAGAGCACAGGTTCTGGACAGGACCGCACCAATCTCGACACAAGAGATACCAACGGGAGGCATCGACAGCAGAGTGGCGCAAGTGGAGGGCCACGAAACGAGGGTCGTCGATGGTGGAACGCCATGAACGGCTAACACACCTGAATCGGAGGAGAGATTCCACCGGCAATCGCTTCAGGACCTCGACGGCGACGTCGTGAGGGAGCTGCGGGTCGTCGTCGGAGGAGGAACTCATGGCGATGGCGAGGGGTGGAGAAGAGAAGCGAGCACGAACGATTCTAATCGATAGTAATTAATATTGTAATACTAATAGTCAATCTTATAAAGCATATAAAATTCTCATATACTCTTCCTTAAGAAATATATGAAAATTATCCTCTCTTCCGCATATTCTTACCTAATAGCGACTGTCATTATGTCTTAAATAGAAATATACAAAACAACGGGTGCACTCCCATCAAGGTAGAATTTTAACATCTTTTACTATAGTATTAACCCAGTTTAATATGTCTGACAAAAAAAAAACAGAAAACCTAGTTTAATATGACAAAGAGAAACTTTTTGACTAATGTACATTCTCCTACTGTATTAGCGTAACCCTACTCCATCTCTATAAATTTATTTCACAAATTAACATGGTTTTGCGTGCATGACAAGAAAAATCTGCTAGTTCAAAGTTTAGTACTTTACTTAGTCAAGTTCAACTCCAACGCTCAAAGTGATGAGTTGCCTTAGGAGTGTGTAACCGGACCGGGTTTATTCAGAAATCGAATCGGCCTACCCGAAAAACAGGTTTAGGAACCGGTTCCTGTTTGAACATGTTTGGGAATCAGTTCCATTTTGTGGGAACCAGTTAGAATTGGTTCGGTTTCCGATTCCAATTGAAAACCCACCTGGACTAGTTTTAGAACCGGTTTTATATGGAGGTCCACTTGCAATTTTATATGGCCAGAATTCAAAGTATTCTGTCATAAAGGATGAGGGAGGTGATCATTATTTGCAGATAGTCTAACTCAAGGGCTTGTAAGCATTATAAGGGCAATTTTTTCTGTAACGAAGAAACTACATATTCAATTGGAACCTATGTTGTTTTATCACGTCCATTAAATTATTGAGACTAAGATAATATGTTTTTGTATGAATACTTAAGATTGTTTGCATAGTCAAACTTATAACCTTTTATTTGAGTTATAAGTTTTCTTATTTGCTACTCGGAAAAAATGAAACCAAAAAAAGGAATAAAAAAAAGGGGCTTTCGGGTAAATCCTGTAACTAGACCGAAAAAACAAAGTAGGTTCCAAAACAGGGTCTAGAGCAAATAGAGTAGGTTTCAGGTTCCAAAAACTAGGAACCGGTTATAACAAGATCGGTTTCAAGTTCCAGGTCTGGAACCGACCCACCCTGAAACCGATCACCCCTAAGTTGCCTCATTGCTTACCCAAATTGGCATTGAATTAGTCAAATCCAATGAACTTGTCAGCTTCCGCATGGAAAATGAAAAATTCAAAGTCACCGGTTTTGTTTTTTTCAAAAGAAAATTATATTCGTTGTTCAAAAGGATACAAGAGAAGTACATAGATTTTTATGGTAAAGCAAATCGAAGTAGAGCAAAACCCAGAATACAACAAAATAAAGCCAAATTCAGAAAACAAGCAGGATCAACAGAGCACCGGCTAGGACAAGCACACACTCGTTCCATAAAAATTGATCTGTCAAGCAAAATAATCGGCGGCCGATGACTAGATTTCATATCATCATCAGCACATGTCGAAAATTCCTTCTCCAATAACTACGGCGTTGCCAATTGGTGGGGCATGCCTAGGTTTGGCTTCCTCTATACTATCGTAGTACGGAGACAACCAAAACGGGCTAAAAAAAAAGATATAACTTTTGGAAGAGCAAATCATTATAGTTCAGAGAGACTTCTACAATCATCATTGAAATTGGAGGTAGAGGATGTGTACACAGATATCAAATTCCCGAAAACATTATTAAACTTTCAAATCTAAATCCGGAAAGAAAAGCTTCTAGATCTAAAACTAAAGCAAGAGAATTCAAACTCTCAGATCTAGAATTAGACCGGGAGAAGAGATCTCCCAAATAGAGATCGGGAGAGAAGAAAAAATAAGAAAAAACAAACATACTCAAACAAAATTAACAGGAGGGAAGGGTGAGACTAGCTCAAACCCTCTCCATGGCTGAAGCTTGAAGAAGATGATGGAGAGAGGAGAGAAACTTTGGGTTCTTTTATTAGTTTGAGAAAACACAGTCGTTTCTCTATCTAATATATTACACCAACACCAAAGACCCTTAGAAGCAGTGTAACAAGAATAAAAGAAGTTGTATAGACAGGGTGGGTCTATTTGACAAGAAGGCAGAGACCTTCCTACAAGCCAGGCCAACTTATCCAAGTGAGTGGCACTTGATGCTCGCCGCCCGCACCTCTCATTACTCTCTGGCTTGGGATATTGGCACCGGCAATGGTCAAGCTGCTCTTGGCGTTAGTCTCTCTCTCCCTACACGATTTCTGAGCAAGAATATGTTGGATCAAATAATAATGGCGACGTGATTCTCCAATGGGGAAATACAATCCTTCACTCATCAATTAAAATCTTTCCTGCTTGACTGACCACAAATATGTTCGTAAAATAATTCTACCAGGTTGCAGAGCATTGCCGGCAAGTGATAGCGACCAACCTTAGTGAAGCTCAACTAAGTTTCGCAATGCCACATCCTCGAGTTCGCTACGTGCGCACTCCACAATCTATGTCAGAGGATGAAATGGTGGCCCTGATGGGGGGCAAAAATCGTGTCGATCTGATCACCGTTGCTACTGCAGTGCACTGGTTTGACCTCTCAAAGTTTTACAAGCTGGCCAAACGCCTTCTGCGTAGACCAGAAGGTATACTAGCCATATGGGCTTATAATGACATGGTCGTTAATCCCGAATTCAACACTGTAAGTAAGCGCCTCTGGGAAGCTTCTATGTAGTTTGGCACTCGGATGCCAAGTACGTAATTGACGGGTATAGAAATCTTCCCTTTCCTTTTGAGAGTGTGGGCTTAGGCCACGAGGGAAAACCGATGCAACTCGACATTCTAAAGGAGCTCCTGTTCAAAGGGTACTTGAAATACATAAAATCGTCATCAGCATTTGCCTTGGCCAAGGAACAAGGGGTGGATTTGTTATCTGAAGAAGTGATTAAAGAGCTTGAGAGTTCTTGGGGAGAGCCTACTACGGTCAGAACTGTCACCTACAAGGCTTTCATGCTTACAGGAACAGTCACAGAGTAAGTCTCCTCAGTTGTATATTTGCTTTGCATGATTAGATTTCTTCAATCAAAAGTTCGACCTTTCTCCACCAATGTTTCCCAGTTTCTCTTTCCACATAACTTGAACCGCTAATATATGACAAATACCAAGGTTGGAATTGGGTCATCCAGTTATCTGCATAGCTGCTGAACAAAGCACGAATCGTGACGACTGAGAGAAGTCTCAACAAAATGCTTCCAATGAATGGTCAGGCTGCAAATTTGAAATTTAAATGATCATTCGAAAAGTTGTGAAACTAAAGTGTATTTTCTGTAGTAGTTATGGAATATCTAATTTCCATTTTTCACATTCAAAGTAGAATTGTTCTAGCTCGGAGCAGCAAGTAATAAACCGAACCGGTATTGAAGGCTGAAGCTTCCCAAACTACTCAAGACTAATCATTCCTCACGAGAAACAATCCAAAATGCCTAAGCAAGTGTCATAGGGGCCAGTTAACATATCAACACGTATTGTTGATTGGAGAAAACACGTTTCAGAAAAGTTACACGCCTCAAATAGAAATGTTCATTTCCAAAGAAAAATCCCTTAACAAGTGCCTTAGCAGCACTCATTAACATTTTCCTAATGACATTTTTTCAACCTGACGTTCCTTTTGTAAGCAAAAGAGCCAAACTCGATGTAAGGGTCCCAGTTGTATCTGGTTTGATGATGTTGTCATGTTGGGTTTGTTTGTTTCCCGGTAAAAGCTTGCTCTAAGCCGTCTCTTTTCATCGGGAAAAAAATGATATTTTGTTTGGAACCTTTTTTTTTGGTAAGGAGGTGACTACAAGCAAAGGAAAAACAGAGAAACATGAAGCAATAGGCTGGCCTGACTCGTGGAAACACCGTTCCTAACATGTCTCCCAAAAGCAATGGAGATAACCCTGGTGTTATAATTCAACGAGCCAACACGTGATTAAAGCATAGTTCCATGCTTGGATTCCACGGAATTAGGTCAAGATCGAATGTTCCCAGCAGAAGCTTGTCATTCCTTGTGGAGCCATGAAAGCTCAGTGGCATGCAGCATAGTCCAAGACTCCATCATTCCTCATTGCATTTACTTCAAACGAATATAGCAAACATGCATAAGTAAAAGGGGATAACCTAGACCACACCTCCAAGCCTTTACAACCCATTCTATGTATTATCCATTTTTGTCAGTAAAAATGGACATTTTTCTTTCGATATTGTTTTGCACCTTTCGAGGAATTCAATGACCCATTGGGAACAATTGAAACTCGAGGGAGGAAAAGGCACAAGAGATGCTGATCTCGAACTGAAATGAAGAGTTTACGTGAGCAAGAACAAAGAATAGTATACATATTCACATGACACTCGAGGAAGAAGCTTATTATCTCTAATGCATGCATGAAATGCTGAATCAACAACCATTGATCCGAGAAAAATATGAACAGAGAGCAGCAGCAGTATAATCTACTTTTCACTGACTAAATCATCATATAAAGATGCTCAAGAGAATTCCCCGTAACCAGAAAAAAAAAAAAGCATAAGCTGGTTAGTGCGTTGCTGGGATGCTCACGCACGAACCGGTGCTTATCGAAAGCAATTGAAATGCTTCTAGAGCCAGGGATAAAAGGTGGAGTATCAACTATGCACATTACTTGTTTCCAAAAACCAACTATGCATATTACTTGTTTCCAAAAAACAACCATGCATATTACTTGAAAAGAGCCTGATGGAATGCTTAGAGTCCTCTTGAGCACCTAATCACGACTTGTATAAGTGAAGCTCAAGTAAGTTTTCTCATGCCGTTTGCTGAATGCATATCTCCAGAATGCATGTCTGATGCAGAATCTATTAGTGAAGCGTTTCTGGACCGGTTGGACAGGCAGAAGTCCAAACGGAAGGCGAAATGGTGATGCGACTAGAGCCGGCGGACCCGGTTGACTGTTGAGGAGAACTC